TATTAGGAATAAAGTACCAGAAAAGGGTGACCTGGATGAGGACCGGCACGAGTGAGAATGAAATTGAACAGCAAATAATCACAGCCAACGTTATTCTACAAACAAAGCCATAGGCTATGATACCGAGGCTCGTTTGTAAATCGAGTACTTCATAGACAAAGCCCCCAGGCTCTTTAGTGTTTTGGACAGAGTCAATGGGACAATTGGAAATCGTTGATCTCCGCCGAAGAACGCTCCTGCAAAGCATTGGAGTTTGGGTCGTTTCGTGAGTCGCTAATTTCTACTGGTGGTGTTTGCAAGCTACCTCGGACCGAACAAATTACGATTTTATTCAAATGATCCGAGTCTGTGAGGGACAGCTGTGCAGATGGCGAAAATGTTGATGGTACTACCTCAATAACTGTTTGAGCATGAGGGTTTTCGACTGTAGGCTCATTCGAAGTTGGTTCGGTGTTAGGGTCATCATCCATTTGAGAGTGCACAGGTATATCCAATGGGGACGAATCAGGGGACTACAAAANAAACGGAAATATTATAGGGGAGGGGGGGGGTTCAACCCATAATCACAAATAGAAAAAGAGTTCTTCCAAACTAGGCATGGTCACGAAAGATAAGGTACCGAAAACTGACAGATCTTAAAAAAGTCTTCGTAAAACGAGAGTATTGTCTTGTCCAATTTTATTATCCAGGTAAATACAAAAGTAACATTGGAGTTTAATTAAGGGGTAGCCTACTAACTACCACTTAGGAAAAGGGATATCTATATATATCAGATGGGCGGTGGTTTAAGTATAACTCATTCCTGACCTTTAGGTTTCAAAGCGTGAGGGCAGCCTTGACGAACGGTCTACATAGTTCGGTGTACACCCTCACTCGACCAGAGGTATGTGGGTACAGTTAAGAGTAAGTTAACGTGCTTCTAGGGCATTCCTTTTTGAAGAAGGGAACCCATTAGAGCTTCGCGGTCAACTGAGTCGAAGGCTCCTTTCAGGTCAAGGAACACTGCGATCGTTGGTCGACGGTGGGGGTGACGCAACGTAAAAATTTGATCAATACGTCCACGACCAGGCCAGAATACGGCTTTCTGTTCACTTGGTATCTCGTAAAGGAATCAGAAGTCGAAGTATGACAGAAGCTAGCACTTTGGTGACGATCGGGATCAAACTTATTCCACGGTGGTTTTGCAATCGTTGTGAGATCCTTTCTTGAAAATGGGAACGATCGCGATTCGCCCCAAAATGAAGCAATGCGTTCTGGCGTCCAAACATTGCGCAGTACGGTAGAAATGGAGCTTACGAGGCTATCACGCCCCATCTTGGATAGAGTGGGAGGGAGCTCATCCGGTTCTGCTGCCTTTCCTCCCATCACAGCTTGAATGCAAGACTGAGCTTCTGCTTATGTGGGAGGGTTGGATGTCACTGCCCACGGAGCTTCCGTTTCAGATGAAGTAATCTGGCCAGTGCCAGGCCAGCTGAAATGTTCGCTGAAGTATTCCGCCTAGCGATCAAGTCGTTGATTTCTATTGCCGCCTCTTATCACAGACTGTTTCACTAAGTGGAGTACGCCGACCTCCCGTAGTCGGAGCAGTCTTTGACTATTCCTTGATGCAGCCGCTCCTTCCATTTTACTAGCTACTGTTCCCCACCAATTCTCAAGGTCCTTCTTGAGGCTCTTAGTGAACTGACGGTGTAGAAGTTGGTACTAGATAGGAATCGATGATGATCTGCGCAGAACTGAAGTCGATTGTCGTTACCTGTTCGTTGGCAGGGCAGAGCGCAACTATCACCTAGGCAAGCTTCTGGTGCGCTCAGTTTTCCAACCTGTGCGTTAAAGTCAACCACAGGTGCCACCCTCTGAT